TAGTCTTTAGTTGTATTAGTACTATCTACTGTATGTATCTTTGTAGACTGTTGTTGGTAGTCCATTTTTTTGGTCTTTCCCTTTGGTTGTGGGGTAACCTTGTAGGTTATTTTGTGTGTTGGGTTGTTGTTGCTTTCGTCTCTTGTTCTTTTAGTTATTTTGATATCTGCTATTTCTTTTAAGTCTATTGGGTTCACTAGAAGTGCACCGCACACTTCCTGTTGTCATTTTGTATAGTTAGTTAGTTATAATCTATAGTTTTCAATTTTATTTTTTGTTTACTTAATTTTAGTGATGTACGGGAAAGAGTTTTTTTGCTCTTTTGAAAGTGGCAAATTTGAAAGTTTCAGTGAAGTATTTTTTAACATATAAACTTATTTACTTAATTATTTACCAGTAGATATTTATCAAAACAATGCTAATTTTATTAACGTGTTCATAGTCGGAATTTTAAAAATAGAAGTAGTGTCTTTTAAAACTCTCACATATTTTCAAAATAATTATGAAACCCCTATTATTACTATTGAGGGGTTTCAGAATTAACATGCGAAAATCTAATTTTGACAGAAATAGATAACATATTTATTTCTGATAAATTTGTAATAATGATTTTTGCCGTTGAAAAGTTTATTTATTTCATTATATGGGAATGTGTGCCAGGTTTGTGACGCAGACGAAATTCTTTAAAGCTCGTTTATGTTATGGTTAACTTCTGTATTACTGTTAGTTAATAATGAGAATATTGTAAAATCATACGAGAAAACTTTTTTTTAGCCACTAAAGGTGGTTTCTTATGCATGTTTTCGAGTAATTGTTAAAGCGAACATTTGTTTTGAATTTTTCTGATCGTGTTACGTTACTCCTAATCTTAAGATCTGATTCGTAGTTCAAGAAAACTGCGCCACTAACCTGGCACACAACATTCAAGAATTGTTGAACCTGTTATAATGACGTATTTGCATAATCACTAGGAAATGACTTCGAGATAGGCACGTAAACGTGCCTATGGGCATGTAAATGCGGCCGTTGTCACGTCAACGTGCCCAAAGTTCAAAATGTAGTTAAGAACCTAAAGTTCCAAGAGATTCTTCAGTTCTATTTGATGATTAAATATAGAATACTTAAATAATCGTTTTGCTTTCGCTTGAATAAAGCATATACTTATCTGAATATTTCCCCGTGTATTGTCTTTTGAGTTCGACTTTAACTTTAATAAACCTTTTAGAAAATCAATTTGAAGGACTGAACTAACTTGTAACTTCGATTTGGCTTGTTAAGACTTGGATTCTGGACCATTTATGGAATCAGATATTGCCATTCGTCTTAATGACTTGTGAGAATTGTGGTAGAGAATGAGACTTACGATTGGTTATTGAACTTGGTTAATCCCTCACACGTCCTTTTGATCCTCGTCCGCTTTACCCCATCATCCTTATTGAGACATTCCTAACAGCACCGCTTGTAGTTGCATCACTGCATCATCATATTAAAGCCTTCTTTTCATAGCATCATATTGTCTCAATAGACCTCCGACAGTTATAAAAGACTCCCTTCGTTTTTCCAAGTTTATCTTTATCTCCTCGTAAACCGTTGGAGTTAAATGAGTCTTTATCCATATAATCTTATTAGCTCTCCCATCAACGGTTACACTTTTATTACAAATTTATTGGAAAACGCAATAAATGCCTGTTTTTTTTAGTTTTGGAATCCTTTGAAAATGTACTTTTTAAATTACTGTGGTCAAGTAATCTAAAAATTTAAACACCTTTTTGTGAATAAACTCAATAACTTCTAAATTAGAATTCTTATAACTCATTGCTATATTTCGATTTTATAGCATTGTTTCTGGCAGTTTATTGCAGTATAACTAACAAATTGATGGA